TATATATATATATTATACGTACAATCATTAAATTATTTATTTGGGCAATCCGCCATTATATTGATGATTTTTTTCAAACTTTTTCCGTTGATCAAAAGTTGGTTAAAAGTTGTTCCACGTATTATGGTACGCATTATACTGATTACGATACTGATAGATTCACAATTAGTTGTCCAATTATAAATGTGAACTATCAATGGCATAATGCATGCGTAAAATAATTTTTAATCCTTGGACAACAATTTGAAGAAATTATCAATAATTGCACTGTCCAAATAATTAGTTTTATGACTATATATATACAGGATATATACTAACAATAAATACGATAAAAAATTTTACAAGGGGTGATTCTTCATACAAATTTAAGAAAACTTCATATGACGATATATCCGAAACGACTTAGTTTCAAAGGATTATCAAAATTGAAGGAAAAATTTCGTTTTTTTTTCTAAAAATTTTCAAAACCGCTTGACTAATTTTGAAACTTTGTATATGTTTAAAGTTTTATCAAATAACTTAAATGCGAAATTTTTCATTCCACTTTGACGTTTTGTATCTCCAAAATTAAGCCATTTCGGACAGTTATATGAAATTTTCGTTTTAAATTTGTTTGAGAAATCACCTCTTAAAATCTTTTAACATATTTAGTAAAACTCTGTATATCGGTGATACGCGACATATGAATAATTGTTATAACAAGAACTAATTTATGGGACCCAAATCGACTAGATATTGTTTCATATTAGTTCCTACTTGATTTTTAAGTCTTCATGATTTTTGCTTTTATTTATCTGACTAATCGTAAGACTGAATACGAATAGTGCAATATGATTTAAAAGAAAAATAGAAAGAGACAATGGCTTGATAAAAAAAAATCTGAATAAGAGTCAATTTGATAGACAAATACGAGCCAAATGCAACGTAGTTGTAGCGAATATACCTATATATGTATCAATAAACAACCAATATTCTCAATTAAATTAAACTATGCTGCTATAGAAAATATACACAAGTATATTCGCTCTCTCTAACAATTTTACTCGTTTATTTATCAAATTGAGACTGATTTAATATGTATTATTTATATCCAAATTCAACTTAATAATAAAGGAATTTTAGCAGTTAAAAGTAAATTTATATTTTATTTTAAAAGATATTATACAATATTATAAAGAAATTAATTTATATAATAATATAATTTTCGTGTTGTTTTATCTAGAAAAATATCTGTTTTGTTTCACTTATAAATTATATAATATAAAGAAATTATATAATATAAAGAATCTGAATATTACATACAATATCAGTCGATGGTTATGTAAATATCGGGAATGTAAATTTTACTTTGGAAATGTAAATGTCTTTACGTAATGATATTTTAAATGAAAATTAATATCCAAACACAATAATGCATTTTTCGATTTTAATATGTAAATGAATTAATATGAAAAAAATTCGAATCGACTTGTATTTGAATTGTTACCGCAAATTTGCATGACAATAAACAGTGTTAACGTTTCGTTAATTGATTAAATGCAATTAATCTTTTTTGGCCGCTAACATTTTTAGACTATTTAATAGATAGTAGAATAATAATTGATATATGTGCTAAAATTCTCGATAGTGTGAAATAATCTTGAAATTCGCGACGTATATGTCACGATGTATTACATATATTTTGAGATGTTACTTATTGACTAATCAGAAGTAATATCTCGTACTAAGACACGCATAGGGACATGTCAGCGCTCGTTTTAATTACAAGGTCCAGTTCGAGTGTCTCGATTTAGTCCTAGATAAATGAAAATCTAACAATTAAGCGGAACGAGATATAGGATCTGGCTTTCTCGTGCACACAAAGACGTAGTGGAGTTTCATACGTGTGCTAATAAAGAAAGCGATGAAATCCCTCGATATACATGCATATATCCGCATAATTATCGCTTATTATTCGTTTGTATTATTGATTTAATGCCTCCGAAAAACATACGTATATTTACGCATACGCGCGTATAGAGCATATAAGTACATATGTGTGAGCATATTATGTATATATAGATTGTACAGAGAGAGAGAGAGAGAGAGAGAGAGAGAGAGAGAGAGAGAGAGAGAGAGAGAGAGAGAGAAATTATGTATTTAAGAGAGTATGTATTTGTTTAAAAGAGACAAAGTATATTATTTATGAACGGGTGAAATCACAAACAATATTTGATATAAATGTATTAATAGGCAATGATAATAAACGATAACAATAATAATGTAACAATGATAAATAACAATGATAAATGGCAAAAGTAATAATAATAATTTAGCAACCCCTTGGTGTTCAATTGTACTTACATGGTGTAATAAATGTTTATAGTGTCTACACACACAACATAAACACATAGATGCATGTATTTTCGACACCTTCATAATTTTCCTAGTTTATCGCTGCAATTACATTTACGATGTGCATCGAAAATATATCGTCTAGCGTATTTCTTTGAAATTGTCAAATAGAAAAGAAACTTGCTATAACATCTTAATGCTTTAGAGGCACATCAACTAAACATCAACTAAAATAAAAATTAATTAAAATGAATTATTTAAAACTCATTTCAGTTAATAACTCGACATTAAAGAAACAAACAAATTTTTTAATAATTTAGCAATTCAAATTATATGCAAGTAGTTTATGACATCTGTATCTCGTTTATCGCGTCGTTTTATGTAGTTTAAAATAGAAAATTGTACATTTCGAATACTCCGAAATACGTCATCATTGTAATTGATACGCTCAGCATCTCATTTTGAAAATTTCGAAAACCGGTTTTATGGTCGTGACTGAAAGATCGAAATGTTTAAAGTCGAATCTATAATGTGCTCTTTGCTTCCTATATTTTGCTTCTCATCATTTACTTTTACCTCTTACTTTTTTGCTTCTTATCTTGATTCCTTCGTTTTCTATCGCCTGAGATAAAAGTCGATAAACTTCAAAAGAAACAATGAACACGATAAAACAGCCATAAAGAGGAAAAAAGGCAAGATATAAAAAGCAAGAAACAGGAAGCAAAGAGCACATTATAGATTAGGCTTGAAATATAATTCGAATATGTAAAGCGGCACGGATTGCATCATTATTTCAAAATAACACATTGATAATTGTACAGGTTAACAATTTCATATAATATACTCACCGACAGGAAGTTCTTGAAGCAATCTCTACATCCATCGGAAGTGATAGGTATAAGAATCGCTGCTGTCGATCGGCACTCGAAGCGGTCGGCGTAGCGTTTCGGCGCGGAGTTTCATCTTGCAGATTGTAGCCATCTTGTTTCGTGAAAAACGCGGCATCTCGTCCACATTTCCGCACTCGCATTATTAGACGCATCGTGCATCATCGTCATTGATACTTTTCACGCGCGCACTCCATTCAACCCTTCGTTGAAATCTCACACAATCTCGGTGATAATCGCGCGTCGAATTCTCGTAAATGGACCACGCAATTCCACTTCGTACGAACGATTGACGCTCCGCGAACAACTCGCGCGCGGCCGTTCGAATGATTATGCTCGATCACGTGATTGAATGCTGCTTCGCAGGGCTGTCTTCACCTGCGGACGATATTTTATCCGTGATAATCGGATTTCTAAGAATTTCAACAAGCAGCGCCTATTGTTGTGGAAAGCAATAGATTATCAGTTACGTCGTTTAACACCTCGATTGAAAGAGATCGCGACTTATTCTTCTCTTCTAGAGCGAACGATCCTCGAGTCTCGTCATCTGGCGCATGTAGCAACAAAATAATCTATGTTATTAAAAACTCTCATTCGATTCTGCTTTTGTTTTACTTTCATTCTTGGCGAGCCGGTGAAACGTTCTTGGAAGATAAACAAGCATGCGCTACGATTACAGACCTCGATCGACTCGAGTTTTTGTAATACTACTAGGTAATACTGTCCTTCATAAATTTTTATTACAATTTAAACGAAATGCACAGCGAATAAGAAGTATGTAGATTCCATTCATTTTTGGAATTATTTTACATAGAGCTGAGAGAATTCGTGCAAAATGTTTTTGTTGAGGAAACATTTATTTTTGTATCTATACGAAATAATAATAAAGTAAACTTTATGTAAAACTATCGATACTTAGCACAAATTTCACTTTTATTTTACGTTATCATAAATAATTTTAATAATTTTGATTTAATTATGCATCTTATTATATACGTTTCATTCAATTGTAATATATGTATGCTATCGGAAAGGTTAAATTATTGTAAAAAAGAAAAAATAATTGTAGAGAATTAAAATTGTTGCAAGGATAAACACTTATTACAAGTTGCAGAATTTTACCATCTCGAGAAAATGTAAGATCTCATTCAACTAAAAAAAGAAAGATAATATTTATAAAAAAAGACTTACGGAAAAACGTTTATATTTCAGAATGATCAACTGTATATCATTATTTAACAATCAAACTTCGTTTATTATAGAAGTTTTTTTTTTCTATAAATCCACTTGCTATGGAAATTCCGCAAAAGACTTCGTTCCTGCGACTCATGAAATACGTACAAAGCAGTCAAATAGATTTCATATGTGTGCGTGCGTGTTTGCGGAGTACGCGAGGAAGGCACGGATTTTTAGTCCACGACACGGGCGACTCGCGGAATAGCTC